GAGCGGGATCGCGCACCTCGCGGTCCCGCTCGTCGTCCTCCTTCCGCGAGATGACAGTCTCGCAGAAGGAGGACACCGCCCTCCACGACCTCTCGCTCCCCACCATGGCCGCAACCACGGCCGGGAGCGAGAGGTCTCCCCCTTCCGCTAGACGGAGCACCCGCCTCTCCCTGGCAAAGGCCGGGCACTCCTCCAACACGTGCTGCGCGGAGTCAACCTCCGCGCTGCACTGGTGGCACTCTGCCGTCGCCTCGGCTCCAACCCTCTGCAGGTACCCCCCGAAGCATCCGTGCCCGGTGAGCACCTGCGTGAGCCGGTAGGTCAGCCTGCCGTGCCGACGGTCCAGCCATCCATCAAGGACGGGCAGGACCGCGCCCACGGCTCGCTACCGGGTGGCGCCGCTGTCAAACAGCTGGCGCCGCCACTTTTCGCGAGCGAGCCGCCGGCTCTGGCGCTTCAACACTCCGACCGCGTCGTCCGGCGGGTCGACCCCATACCGGCGGAGGCCCTGCAGACACCGATATACATCGGCGTCAGCCTCCGCCTGGAAGTCGAAGGGCACGACCCCTGCCAGGACGGCCGCCGCCTCGTGGGAGATGGTGCGGTAGCCCCTCACGACCCTGATGGCCATGCGGCGCTGTATGCGCCGCAACAACTGCCGGCCTCGCCGGCGGACCATCAGGGCGTCGGCCCATACGGGTGAACCGCATAGGGCCATGGCCCGCACCACCCCCATGTAGAGGCGGCGTACCTTCTCTTCTGGCCCCCCGAGATTGGGCATCAGACGACCCAATAGGGTCGCCACGCCCTCAATCCGGGGGACCAGGCGGTCGAAGTGTTCCTCGAAGCGCAAGCGGCTGTCCAGGTCGAGGCCGAGGTACTTCATTCGGCCCCCGACCCGGACACAGGCAGCTCCTACACGGACCCAGGCCTGGGGGACTCGCCGCGACAGAGGTAGTCCATGGAACATGACCACCTCCGTCTTTGGCGGCGAGATCTGTAACCCCAGGTTCCGAATCCGGGCGACGACAAGTGCCGCCCCCACCTCCGCCAGCCGAATGGTCCTTGTCCACTCCATCCCGAATGCGATGATCAGCGTGTCGTCTGCATAGCAGACGACACGCACACCGGGCGGGAGGGGCCCGCGCAGAACCGAGTCGTACACCAGGTTCCACAGCAGGGGTCCCAAAACGGACCCCTGAGGCACGCCCCGGTTGACCCTCCGTCACCACTATGCATCACCCATTTTTTTTAATTTTTTTTACGTGAGGGAATGCATTTACGCACACCCCCACCATCCTCCAATGTGGAAGGAGTGGGGCGGGGGTAGTGTGGGACTCATCCCCAATAGGGCAAGGCCCAGGGGAAATACCCACTAAAACCTCACGGTGGCCGGGCTCGGCGCTGTGCGGGGAGGCACCGGGATCTCTTGCGAACACGACCGGTACCTGCCCAGCGCCCGTTCCGCCAGTGGACGGCGGAGCGCCCTCTCTGTGGTGGGGGAAGCGAGAGCCCCCCCCCCCCCCACCGGACCGCGGGTGCCACAGTCCCGCGATCCCAACAGTCCCTTTTAGTCGCCTCTTACGACAGGCAGGGATTACCGTGGGCGTATTCTGTCCCCCACCACACAGGGGAAAAATAGACGGAGCCATGCCTAACCCAAACAGGACGTACAAAATACGATACCCAAATTTCTTCGAGCGAGCGGGGCAAGTAACGCGTACAACTCTCCACTTTATCATTGTCATTATCATTATCATCTTCTCTACATTGTACAAATCCTAAAATTAGAGTTGGAAATGTTAGAAATATCTTTCCGTATAGCTCAGAATCTATGGCTGAGCGAAAGTAACATATAGGGAAAATTATTCAGAATGATGACCTTCACAATATATTTCAAGGCCATCGGAATCGATGCGGAGTACCCCTTTGTATCTAATTATTATCGGTAAATAATTACCGATAATAATTGTAAACAGTAATATTTAATGAATAAAAGCATAGACTACTGTATGTATGTAATACAGTAAAATCGTTAATTCAGTAAATGTTTAGATTTCCTGGTCAATGTCTGTACTTACTAATCTGGTTAGTAAATGTATTCAGAAGGAACGAAATTTATACTTTTACTAGTAAATACATGCACAAACAAAAATGCATTCATTTCAATAAACACTTTAGCTAGCAATTGTTCGTATACAACTTATAAATTTTGGATTAATAGGGATGTGTCTTTACAGTTTACGTTGGCAGTTAATTTCACGGGTAAAAATCATTTAGTTTGGTTATATTATTAAAATGAATAAAATCAGTAAACAGGAACATTTTCTACTAATTTATATAACTGAACTATTTATTTTACATTATAATTGTTTCTTTCTACATAAGTGTATTAAATAAAAATATAACCTAACCAAACCTCATTCTTACAGTTATTAAATAAAAACAACCGATTTTCTTAAAAAAGTGTTACGTATGAAGAATTTTCTATCATACCTCTCGCTCTAATAGTCTGAGCTCGCACCCGGCAAAGGAAAACGCCCTTACGTTTTCGTTTCTCTTGAGTAAGCGAGGGAGTAAAACCCGTTTCCACGGCGTGATAACAAAAAAAAATTAGGAAGCGTGACGCCACTTCAACCGTGAAAAATTTCCTTACATGGAAATTTCATGGCATCTCCACCAATTTCTAGGCCTATATAAACCCGTTGATTTTAACCCTCGGGGGATAAGAACTGTACCGTCGCCTTTAGAGTCACGTCACGTCACGTTCTTGTGAGTTGGTGAGATCTGGCTAAAGTTCCCTTTCGAATCCTGTTAACCTTGTAGTAAACCGTGAACAGTTTATTTGTATTCCGGCTAGAATTATTATTTTGGCATTATTCCGTAAAATCCACTCGCAACCCCCGCCTCGCCAGTGCGTTAACACCGAGCACCTATTCATTTCGGTAATAGTTATTATTTCATTATTACTTACTACTACGCGACAACACTACACAACACATTTGTAACTAAAGACTGATTGATTATACTGTTATTTTATAAATCTGTATAGTTCATTTTGAATCCATAACACGATCTAGAAATCTGTAGTATTATCGATATACCAGTTTCCTCTAGTTTAGAATAATATCAGGTCGACCGTTCCCACACTAATACAACTGTACCGCTCGAGTTGTATTAATTATAAATTCAAAGGTTACGAGGCACTAACTAACATTTCCTAACGACTCCCTGATTTCGCATCAGGTTCGTCCGTGCATTACGTTTATCCAAGAGTATTTCCAACCCAGTGGCTCTCCGATTTCGCATCGGATTCGTCCACGAAACTTGAATAATCCTGCGGCTCCCTGATTTCGCATCAGGTTCGTCCGAATCCTAACAGCTCCATGATTTCGCAACAGGTTCGTCTGTAGAGATTTCCCACCCTCCTCGCAGCTCCTCAGTTTCGCGCTGAGTTCGTCTGCAAAATCACATTCTAGTGACTCCCCGATTTCGCATCGGGTTCGTTCACGAATTTCACCTTCCTGCGGCTTCTTGATTTCGCATCAGGTTCGTCCGCAAGTGACTCCATTCCTAGAGGCTCCCTGATTTCGCATCAGGTTCGTCCTCGTTTTCAAACATCCTAGCGGCTCTCTGGCTTCGCGTCAGATTCGTCCGCGCACCTTACTAATAAACTGATACCATATTCCTTGAAAAACCTAAACTCGCCGGCCTCTCGCGTTGCTACGGCTCGGGCTCGTAACAAAAGATTCTTGAATTATCAAATAAAGTGTTAAGTTTTCAGTTTTTATTTTTGTCTTTTAAATATACCTATATATTAAAAAATTATACTTTCGACATTATGCTTTTACTAAAACGTAAAGCTGCTACGTGCTGTAGAAAATGTATGCATTATCCATAGATACTTCTGCTAAATCATACGTAACTGCATGTATTGAGTAGTACGTGCATACCTTTACTAAACCTCACGCTTTTACTGTGACTTATATGTATAATATACTCAAATGAAATACTTGGTATAATTTTTAACACGTTTCTTTCCTCTATATAAATATTAGAAGTATTATTGCAGAATTTGTATTGTCTACAAACTAAGTACAGAATACGTGTTACGAAAATTCTGATAGAAATCAAAAGTCACGCGGTATATCTTGCTCAGCATTATTATGGTTTGAGAATTAACACCTTTGGAGATAATGGATTATAACGCTTTATATAACCTAACTTGAATATACCAGAGAGTTTTATATTTTATTTAAATTCTACCATGAAATGCTTATCTCGTATATAATAAATTTGTTTGCTAAGATAACTCTGCGAATTGCGTCTGTACCTACAGTGATAAGCAACACCGGCGCTGCTTTGTAAGGGAGAACAGCACGATGAGTTCAAATTGCAGTTCTGTTTTTTTTCTTTACCCCCGGAACATTGTTAATGAAGTTTGCTTTATGACTGCTTGCTACATGCATGGCAATAGACATTTGCATATACAAAAAATGTGAACGTTTAAACTACAGCGCCGTCTGCTTTGACGAGTTTCTTTCTCTGTGAAGCTTTTCAGTTATAACAATTGAATATGCACTATATTAGAATTTTTAGAAAGTATGTGAATGTTTAGATTAAAGTGGAAAAAATAAATGTTTAACATCGAAAATTTATTTCGTTGACAAAAATGTTTCTAAAGAGGTAAGCTGAAAAATAGCAAAAATATACCTGACTTTTAAAACGTTTGTCAATAATTACTACACAAAGAAGTTTCACATTCACACTAACAGATAACGATTATCCTGAATATTTTGAAAATGAAAAACTGCTTACCATGAAATTGTGTTCAAAAATATTCATTTAAATAAATAGATTCATTTGCACTAGTACTAGAACACATTTCCAGATAATTTTTCACTATTTCCCAGTTATTTTCAAATTTGTCTTATTTTTCTTAGAATAGATCATTTTTAAAAACTGTTAAAAACGGTCTATCGTTTTTTTTCTTATTACAGGTTTTGTTCTATGCTACGTACTCTTCATCGTGGTGGTAGTGTTAATGCAAATGTATGAGACCAGGGAGGAAAAGATTAAAAGTGCGTTCCATTTTGGACGAGTTTTCAAGAAACGCGGTAGCACGTTTACAGTGGCGTAGTCAAATCTTACCTGGAGGGACGCGTTTCCGCGCGATAAAAATACTTTATACTGAATTCACTGGGAAACCCCATTTAAAAGAATAACTTTGCCTCTAATTTAATCGTGGAACTTTAACGCGACTCCGGTGTAATATTATTGTTGGAAATGAGAATATAAAAGAGGGGTAGAAGACCGAAACGTTAAAAGCACCGAGTAGTTATGGTTTAATTATGGAATCTGTATCGTCTGATCGGTATTGCGTGTTACAATTAAAAATATAAATCTATTGATTACTCTTCAAGATTAGCGATGGAATTAATTTAATACGTATTGAAAAATATCAGACGAAACAAGGATTATAATTGAGTAGTGTTCATAAAAGCAGATGTTTCATTTTTCATCTGGATGTGAACCTTGCGTATATGTATAATATTCTTATAGTTGAATCTCCTCAATAACAGGAATTCGTTTTGATTTAGTAAGTAATCCGTATAAATTTTTCGGTATAAATACGAAATTATATATACACCGATAATTTATTTACAAATACTGCTCCTATTTCACGAAATAATTCCATCACTAATTGTACGTACAACTAACGTTCACGTTAATATTATTTTAATATTGAGTATATATTTATAAATAAATAAAATAAATAATATATTATTATAATATGGAGTACTTACAAGAGAACGACAGTACACTAGTATTCCTTTCCTGTCGCTCTTACCATCTTCTATCAATTTATTCAACCTTATTGTAAAAAAATAGTATTCGTTCATTCTAAAAATTGATGAAGTGGAATTCTGAAATTCTGACTATTCGCCATAATTTGTTTGTGTTGAAAATTCATCCTGATACAAAATGATTTAGCTTTTTATATGAATAGTCACCTGACAGGGTAATATCTGGTAAATATGATAGACGCTCAAAGATTTCCCAATTGATGTTAATGTACCATCCATTCCAATCCATTTACACCATTGATATACCTTAATAATATGTACCGTGCGCTTGCTCGTACAGAACAAAATGTATAGAACAACACTGTCCAACAGATTCAAACTTTTTTCACATCTGCAATATCCATAGAGAGATCCTTATAGAGTCGCGTTCGGATCATGAATCCGGAAGCAGAATTGCTCCATCTCCCTCAGTTTTTGAAAAATAATAGCTTTTGTAAAAACACAGTTACTCTACTTCTTCTTTATTTTACTCTTGAAAGATAGAGGAGAGTTTCCTGAATATAACAGTGTACATAGTTATAAAATTGTGTAATTTTTAATGGCTGTAAATTGCCGTGAAAGTTTAAAAAATAGCCGATGAGCGCGCTTTCTATGCACTATTTTTGTATTTTCACGAAAAGTTCTTTGCCTAGCATGAATTTGCTACATAGTATCGGATTCTGTAGACATCTCTGAAGAAGAAACCGTCCAAAAAAAGTTTCGGAACAATTTTTAGTTTCAAACAAGTCGGTAAAATATCCGTCGGCAACATGAGCGCGGCGTTTTGCCACGCGGCCATTGCTCGCTGACGTCAACTCTTCAGTGCCGTAGCTACGCGTGATCGACAGCGATAGTCGTCATCCCCACCACTAGGGAAGGGGGCCGTAGAACCAGTCCAGCGTATAATTTTTTCAGCCGACGGCTGAACGAGGGGAACAATTGCAACGATGAAACTTTTTGTTTTTGGTTCTTTGTTAACGAAACTTTTACGAACATATTCATGAGATTTTTCTGATTAAAATGATACCAAACACGATATAATTTGGACCATATTTACTTATGATTTATCAGAAATGATAATGAACGAATATGAACCATTAACACTTTCTACGTGAGTAAATATGTCCAAATTATGTCGTATTTGGTATCATTTTAATCAGAAAAATCTCACCAATATACTAGTAAAAGTTTCATTAACAACGAATCAAAAATAAAAAAGTTTCATCGTTGCATTAGCGTTGTATCACCGATACCTGGGAATGTAATCTTTTTTTGATGTCCCCTCGTTCAGCCGTCGCGTCGACTCGTCGAAAAAAGTCTCTTTTTACCGACTGGCACGACGAACTCGACGGACAGAGCATATGCACGACGCTTCGTCGCAGCGAATGCTTAGAAAGCTGTCGATGTTACAATGGTGGCTGGATCACCTCCAGTCACACGTGTTTTTATTATTGGCCGAAACGATTCACACACAATCGGACTGTGTGTGGAAGAGAAGGAACGAGACACATCGAGACCGAGTAAGATAACGCGAACTGCAGCGATTACAATATAACCATTGGCCGGTGGGAGCGTCGCAGGCGGGCTCACGCAGTCCAATCGAATGGAAAGAGATGCTTTCTCTTTCAGTGACTCCGCGAAACCGAGGCATTCACACTTATCAAGACATTTCTGTACTGTCCAATGGGTACACTCTTGTCGTATGAATAAATGTTTGATTTTTTCCATGTATTCTTGGATGTATACTAGTCTCGCAATTGTAATAAACTTTTCCCGATCACTTTCAGTTTCAAATTATTTTAATGTTCGATTTATGTACTATACGTTATTAGTAAAAAGCCGTTAAGAAACATACTCAATTGTTATTAAGTTTACAGGGTGTTTATTATTATGATTTTACAAGATTCCAAATATTTTCTGAAATATGGAAATATGTGAAACACATTAAACAATATAAGTAGTAAGAGAGGCGACGACAATATCGACTGATTATGTTGATAAGTATGCGCTGTGAGCGGTGTGTATGTGTGGCACATGTATGAGGTAGCGTGTGCTACCGGACGTCGTTAGTTCGCAATAAGGCGTGAAAGGAGAGAGCATGTCGTGTAATAAAGAAGTATTTTTTTCATTTTTTCTTGGAACGTTCCTTTTACTGATTTACTCTACACCAGATCAATAACATGATGTTAAGATTTCCAGAGCGCCTGCGATAAAACTCTTACTTCTCGGCCTTCTCTAAACCCCAGAAAATTACACTACTTTTCTATCTCGAAGTCTTCCAGAAGTATTGGCCATGAATTTATTAGAGAAAAATAACAAAATAATGCTTAAATAGACTTCGTGTTGTTTCCAAATATTTTTTAATATGTTTCACATATTTCCATATTTCAGAAAGTGTTTGGAATCATGTAAAATCATAACAATAAACATCCTGTAAACTCATTAACAATTGAGTATGTTTTTAACAGCGTTTTACTAATAAGTCATACATATAATACATGCAGCGAACATTGAAATAATTAGAAACTGAAAGTGATCGGGAAAGGTTTATTGCAATTGCGGGACTACATAGCATCCAAGAATACATGGAAAAAATCAAACATTTGTTCATACGACAAGAGTGTACCCATTGGACAGTACTATCGCTATCCATTACGCGTAGCTACGGCACTGAAGAGTCGAGGTAAGCGAACAATAGCTGCGTGGCGGCAAAACCTAGCGCACACTAAAACTGTTTCGAAACTTGTTCTGGATAGTTTCTTCTTCAGAAATGTCTATACAATCCGGTATTATGTAGCAAATACGTGGTGGGCAAAGAACTTTTCGTAAAAATACAAAAGCAGTGCATAGAAAGTACGCACATCGGCTCTTTTTTTACACTTTTACGGCAATTTACAACCATTAAAAATTATACAATTTGATAACTATATACACAGCTATATGCAGGAAACTCTCCTGTACCTTTCAAGATTAAATTGAACTTTCTACTGTTTTTACTTTTCACGTAATATGTGATTTTTCGCCCAAACCGGGTGTTTTTACAAAAGCTCATGTTTTTCAAAAACTGAGAGGGATGGAGAAATTCTGCTTCCGGATTCGTGTTCTGGACGAGAAACTCTATAAACAACTCCCCATGTATGTTGCAGTATGAATTTTTCTTAGAATAATTGATTTGATATAGATAGTAGCAATTATAAGTGCTTCTAATAGTGGCAGCGATATTTTCTACAAATCACGGCGAATTTCGTAACTTTCTATATTTCTGTCTAAGGTAAAAGCAGTTTAACCTTAAAAAAAGCAATATACATACAGGGTGGGGCAATGACTATGTCCATTTTGAATATTGCCGTTATTTGTAATAATATGAAAAAATGTTATATACAAAACTTACACGGTACAGAGGGGGGCATATTGTGACAAACATTTTCTGCGTGGGTGAAGGCATAGAGGAGATTTCAAGGTCATCTCTATTTTCTTTAATGGAATGCTATGTTTTTTTTATCGCGATGTGATAGCCGGTGTTGAGACGACTTCAGCGAGCTATCATTGAAGGTCATGCAAGGTCAAATGTGGTAGTAAAATAAACTTTCTTACATTACAGGAGATGCTCGAAGTGGTGACCGTTTGTGCCAATGCAAAGTTGCAATCTTCGTATCGCTGCATCACGTGCATGTCTTATCGTTTCTGAACTTACTCTAGCACATGCTGTAATTATGATGCAGCGATACGAACATTGCAACTTTGCATTGACGCAAACGGTCACCACTTCGAGCGTTTCCTGTAATGTAAGAAAGTTTATTTTACTACCACATTTGACCTTGCATGACCTTCAATGATAGCTCGCTGAAGTCGTTTCAACCTTTTTCTTAGCAGAAAATCACAGGAACCTCTCATTTCCGGAGTCCAAGGTATTTTGAGACATCCTGTATATGACACAACACGCAGTAGGGTAGATATTCCAATTATTGCCACATTATTTGCTTTACTAAATAAAAACGTACCGTACAAAAAATTGTGTACAAAAAGTATTAATATTAAATTGGAACTCTTGATATACATAAACGCAGAGAAGTACATGTACATGTGTGTACCTGGTATTTAAAAATACATGTTGCAAAATGAATGTACCATTTACGCGTCAAACATGTGACTACATAAGTATGAAGTGATGGCGAAATCATTGTAAAGAAAGAGCTGTAATTTTACTATTTAACCTATATCTGTTGTACAAAATGAATTGTTAAAGGTATATAAAAATGACTTACATTTTTGAGGTAATAGTTGTAGTGACACTGGGATTGCCTACAGATTTTAATTTATTATTGATTAATTCTTCATATTTAATGTACCAAACTATTAATTTGGATGAAAGAAATGTTAAATAATATTATGTTTAAAACTGAGATGATATTTAGATTAAACAACACGTAAAATGATTGAATCAAGCTACGCTGTAATCTTAAGGTGGCTATAATTGGGACATCTACTCTATGTATAGTATACTACAATAGTAGTATACACTACTTCTTGAAAAAGCCTTAATATCTCACAATGCTACTGTTCTGGCATAGCTCCCTCTTGCACTAGACCCTTCAATTGACGAGCAATTCTCAACATAAAACCATTTCTTACTCGTTCGTATCATTCGTCTGGACTCGGCTTGTATTTATAGTCTAACGTTTTACAAACAAAAGTAAAGAACATAGACTTACCCTCAGTTTGAAACAGTAAAGCTAGAGTTCGTTAGAAACAAGAGCTCTTTTTGTGTCGATAAAACAACAAAGAGTGAAGTACTTACGTTCCAATGCTTGAAGCATCCGTTTGACATGCAAAAAGCGCTTCGCTTCTTTTTTCATTTTTCATACTTAGTATGCAACAGAACTCAATCATTACGCGTCTGTTCGACGAAGACCAGAAAGCAATTGGGAACGATCCGTCGCGTCGGCCGGTCGGCAAAAACAAAAAGAGTTGCCTGCGCCACTGCATTTATCGATCGTTGCCGCTCGGACTTCCTTACGTACTTTTACAGGCAGGATCCCAAGTGAATCGGATCCAGACGTCCTGCGCACTTACTTGGCGAACAAGGATGCAGCCAGCGCTCTCAAGATTCCCGTGAGGCCACGTGCTTTTAGCCTGCGAACTAAGCTCGGTACGAATGATCAATGACTCTCCAAAATTCCATTATATTAAAATTGAACATCCTGTATTCATGAATCTCTAACTGGTCTCTTCAAGAACGTTGCGTGTTGAGAAATGACGACTCCTCGAATGGTGGTTCGAGGAGCAGCTTGCAGAGTCACGTTTCACTTTAATTTTCATATTATTTACGCTTTTAATTACTTTCACTTCTTCGTATTATTTGATGTAAAGTATATGTACATCATGTACTATTAGATGAAATTTTATTCGAGTGTTTTGCTGATAATTATTTATTACGACGCTGTGGAGGTTACGCATTTGTAGCAGATGTGCCTGAGGAAAACATGAGGGAACAAAGGTATTTATGAAGTTTATCGTGGACTTTACTTTCTGATTTCCTCGGTAAAATTGTTTCAGTAAGGTATTAAATTTCTGTTTTACCTCTGTTTTCACGAATGAGTCTCTAAAAATCTGTATTTGCATAAATATTTGTAGTCTGCTGATTATGACTGCTGACTATTTCTGAAAGTGGAAGTTAAAGAGATGTCATTTTTTCTGCTAAGGAGTTTAACAGATGAGAAATAGAACAATATTATACTGTATGGAAATTCTTTTCAATTTACCTTGTAAATTTTAGCGTCTTATCTGCATTTATCATACATATTCCAAATTTTTATCCATAGTTTATTTGTACACAGGGTGTTTGTGAAAGGTGGTTTAAAATTTTTCAAACTCGTAGTTCTCATTAAACTAACAATATAAGCAAAATATTTTCAGTCAACAATACTCAGAGCTATCTTTCTGTATCTGTTTTCAGCTTACAGTACGAAACTACTAATTTAAGTTCTTATAAGAATCATTTTATGTGTCGTCCTTCCATTTCAGTACATACTCGGCACGTACGTATCATCGAATTTCATGCTCTTCCAAAAATTTCTATTTCATTTTTAATTATTTGACATACATTCTGTCATCAATGCCACAAGTATGTATGTGTATGTTGACTTGTTTATTGAGGAAGAATACACTAAATGTTTCATAAATCCATATAAACAAGTGTTTACCGTAGTTATCGAGAAATCAAGATGCAAATGTAAAAAACAGGCACGGAAGGATAGCTTGCAATTAGAATATGGAAATATAGAATCGTTGTTTACTCTGAAAGGATTGATTTGTAGATCCATATTTATCTGGTTTGGTGAGCACTACAAGTCCGCAAAATTTTAAATCTGTTTCAAAGGCACCCTGTGTATTACACCCTAAGACTTTGACACTTCTCTGTATAATACACATTATCCTTATTATTACACACTCTCTTATTGTTAGTTTATTTTTGTGTACAATCTGTACACTATACACAAAAACATCCTAACAGAATTTATAATAATATATGATAATTTTCCATTGTCTTAAACAGTTTTCCATACAAAACATCTGCTTCTAATTAAGATCTTTATAACAGTTATTATCATTGTACACTGTATAATTATTACATGTGCTTTCCATGTCAGATATTGCAATTGCCATGGAACTGCAACGGGAAAAGAAGTTACAGAAGTCAACGTTATCAGATGATACACTATCACGTGAAGAAGATACTGACAGACCACAGGGACTGTTCAAGGAATTCCTGTATGATATCACACCGATAGGGGAGGAGGAATGGACGAACGCGAATTGGATTTTTAAGTTCATTTTAATTATCCGCGCACCTGCCATGTTCCTACTTCAATTATTTATCCCACTTGTGAACATGGCCGCCGCGAAGAAAGGCTGGTCCAAACTGCTAAATTGCTTCCAGCTGTGTGTGACACCGACGTTGGCATTGTTTCTATTAAATGGTTAGTGGTATTAATTGTCGCGACTTCTACAACTACTGATATAAATCCCACCCGCTAATAAAAGCTCCAACTTACCCAGACATATTTTCAAGCACGATGAAATACGAGCACGATCTTGAACTTTTTTTTTTAATGTACAAAATTGCCGGAGTTTAGCTCAATCTAAAACAAATAGCCAGAGATTTATATCTCGATAGATGGTGTAGGCTAAAAAAGAATACAATGGATCCATTATTAAAAACTCATTTCCTTTAACTATACTTTATGAAAACGTTATGCATAAAAAATGTTCTCATAATGCAGAAAAATGTAAAAAAGATTTTATAAGACAAGTCTGAAATTAGTTTTCCATTCTTCAGGTTATTTTTTGAAACTCATTTCACAAATACAGGTTCTTACTAAATCGGTGATACAATCCGAAATATTGTTATTACCTATATATGAAAACATTAGGCTATCATGTCGTACAAGACAGTATTTTTTTGTATTAAGTTTCGTTCTCGATTAAATCAATAATGAAATGTTTATGCACTGAGTACTATTCATTTCAAGTGCCTGCTCATTAGTGATAGTTAGTATAGTTACTACTTATGATAATGTTTCTGAATATGGTGGTCAGAAGATGTTTTTATTTCTCGTATAAATAAACCTTTCATAAATATCTCACACTACATTAGTACATACATATTATACTGGGAGTAAGAATTATTTCGAAAAGATGAACAATACTACCTACACATCCTATATATCCTTCCTTATATACAATATGTATAAAAGAAAGTCTATTTGTTCCTCTGGTCGCTTATAACTCAAGAATTAAGTACTCGATCAATTTCGATGCGATTTCTTTCATCGTGTAGTGCAATTCTCGGGAATGGTTTTAGGCTATCTAAATTCTTCGCTTTACCAATGGGGGCATTCGTAACATCAAAATACGGAGCATATTCGACAAATGGTCAGATCTTCTACGCGTATGCGTAGTAAAGGTGGGATCCCCCTTGGAACAGTCGAGCGACAATGTAAACACGTGCGCTTCCCGATCTTGAGTCGACGGTGATATGAGCTGAGGCAGATAAAAAAGTTTAACCCTCCGAGCACGGTCCCTGGTCATGCATTCGCGAGAGCGACATGCACACAGTGACAGAGTCAGGGGTGGGGACACACGGTCTCGAAAGCGACACGCACGCAGTGACGGAGCTGTCGCGTAAATCGCAAAGCGACCGATGTTTGATTACATGCGAACAACCTGGCCAATACGCTGCAGAAGTATTGATTAATAAATAAAATTTGTTTTATAATTCACGAGATTTTTATTCTAGTTAGTGTAATAAGAACCACGAAAATCCAAATGTAATGTGGAACCAGCTAATCATTACATTGTATACATGGTGACGGTGGCTCGAGCTCGAGCTCGAGCAACCGCCATTGCGTAGTAATATCGGAGAGGTGCTTAAGCTCGAGCCATACTGCCCTGCGTTAGCACAGTGTCGGTGAGGTCCTTGAGCTCGAGCCTCGCCGTCGCTGTGTAGTAGTAGAATATCGGTGTGGGGTCAGAAATGACATAGGGACCGGTAACCATGTTTCCGTGTTCGGAGGGTTAAACGACCGCGTATCGACGTGACAATACAAATGGAACTTTAAACCTTTTTTCTTTTTGATTCATTATTAATGAAAACTTCATTAACATATAATGAGTTTCTTCTGGTTAGAATGATACCCAACATGATATAATTTTGATCATTTGTAATTAAGGACAACTGCAATAATGAAAGAAACACTTGATTAAGTAAATATGATTCAAATTATTTCACGTTTGGCATTTTAATCAGAAAATTCTCACCAGTATGCTAATAAACGTTTTATGAACGGTAAAACCAAAAATAAAAAAGTTTTATCGTTGCGTTAGTATGTTCTTCTGGATACGTAACCTGTGACATTTTTTTGGCAGCTTCGACTCTCACTACCTTTTCGTATTTCACTCGCTGTTCTTTTCTTCAACTCGGACTCAAAAAGAAATGTTCCGAACCTAAAAATTCAGATTTTAATAAAACATTCCATGAATGTTTCTGCCTGTTTTCGCTATTTAATATAACTTTGTAACGGTACGAGATAGAACAAAACTTTAAATACAGAAATTGTTCAGTTCTTTTGGACTATTACACTACCAAAAGAAAAAGTTTCTACGATACGTCGTGTATAAATAAAATTATTTTTGTGTTATTTTTTATATGTGAGTTTTTAACTTCTATTCTTCTTCGGTGAACATGAGCTCTGCACACTTGTCGAATATTCATTGGACTGCTATCTTCCACAGCAAGGGCCCAATCTCCATGAACTTCTGGGTATAAGCAACGTAATATACAGAACTGGCGTAAAAAACTGTCGATTACGCTGTTCAACACGTAAAAATTTTTAAGAAGGACTTTTAGGAAAACCTAAGGACTCTAAGTGAAAGTGGATGTAGGCGTAAGAAGCCCGGTCTCGCCGGAACCTGGTTATTAAATGTGCATGACAATAACCAGACTCGCACAAGACCGTGAGAAACGCTGAAGAGAAAAAATGTACAGGAAATAGTAAAGCGAAACGAAAGACCAGAAAAGTGAAAGTTACAAAAAATCCAAACGAAAAGAAACAAGGACGTGGTGGCAGTCCTAAGGCCGCCACAGTATAAAATGAATTTAATATTTTTAAGTTCAGTTAGATTGCTGCTTGCCGTCATTTGAACTACAGTGGGTGTAAAAAGTATTCGTACACCCTTTAAAACGGAACAACTCTTTTAAAATTGGCCCAAATGACTTGAGTTTTTTTGTGAAGTTAGAGACATTAATTTACTAAATGATGTGAAAAAAAACTTTGAAAAAGTTGTAATTGGTCCGAATCGCGAAGAAAATATTAAAGGTCGTGTTTTACAACTTTTTAATCTGAGGCTATAATGAAAATTTAATAAATACATTGAAGGATCTTATGCTGTGTTTAAATAATCTACACAGTAATTCGGCTATTTATTTATTTATGGTTTGTGCGGTCACGATTCGTTCAAGAACTGCTCTTGACGTTGTCGGAGATACAAGTCAAGTCTCCCGACGCTTCTTCTTTTCGGGAAGCTCGCAAAACCCGGAAGTTATCCTAATTGATTAATGTAGCGCGCAGGCATTAACCAATCAGGCGCTTCCTAACATTCCCAATCACGCCACCTATTCCTTGCGCCCTTAGCGCGCTGCTTCAGGAACAGGGGTGTGACTTGGCGGGAGTGAGACCCATAGCGGAGGTTTGACAACGCAGCGGAATTTCCTCCAGGTCCCCAAGGCGCGTGACGTGGCCCATCGCCGGTCATCTGGCCCCGCTTTGCAACCCTTCGGAAACTCGAGGTTTATGACACCCGCTTAGCTATTGAAGCCCTTGACGAAAGTTTCTAAAGGCAAAAATGTGCATCGTATAAAACTGTAAATGAAAGCGGAAAGAAAGCGGCTTTCTCGAAAATAGCTCTGCTGGTGCAGGTATCACAAAACTCGCCAACCATTTGCACGCCAAATGTTCTTTCTTTGTACGTGCCGTTGGCCGCTACAACATATCGAAGATTTATGTTAGTTATGTACATACTGAAACTTTCATTGAAATCGGTTAATACAGAAACGAGCGACAGACAAGTTTCAATATGTAAATAACTAACATAAATCTTCGATATGTATTTATTAAATTTTCATTATAGCCTCAGATTAAAAAGTTGTAAAACACGACCTTTAATATTTTCTTCGCGATTCGGACCAATTGCAACTTTTTCAAATTTTTTTTTCACATCATTTAGTAAATTAATGTCTCTAACTTCACAAAAAAAAACTCAAGTCATTTGGACCAATTTTAAAAGAGTTGTTCCGTTTTAAAGGGTGTACGAATACTTTTTAAACTCACTGTAGATATAGTGGGAGAATGCGGTGTTCCCTCATTGGTTTGTTTGAGGTAAATCTAGTGACTTTGATGAATTCTAATCTGTTGTTTGAAACTTCTTGCAATTCTTCATGTATTTCTTGCACTTCAAAATACGAGGGCAAGCGTTATCATAAATAATTGTAGTGTTTCATCCACTTTCGGGTATGTTGAGTCTTTCGCGAGGGGTATTGAATAACACCCGCGATGGTTAATCACTATTGAGGTTAACATTTATTAGGAACCACGAAGGTTTACAGTCTAGTCGAAAACAAAAGATATTCGCGGTGCGAATATGGCGCTTCCGCTAGTAGCGATTTTCCGGCGGTATATTCGACTGGATCCTCAACAGGGTATATGTTTAATATTGTGTGTAGTACTGTCTAATATGTTTTTAAGTCTGTCAAATTCAGTAGAACTCTCCAGCTGAATTATATGTTTTTCGTTATTGATGCGTTTAATGTGAAATTTTAAATTATCTGCAGATTCCTTAACTAATTATACAGTGTCTTGTGGGTCCTGGTGAAGAACATTGATTGGTGAGGGTCGCTTCTCGTCTCTCACTGCAGGTGTTTGGACTGTAGAAGATGGTTCTATTGATGCTGCTGTAAGGCCCGATGTTAAGGTTGATGGTGTTGGTCCTGGGTTGTGATTAATGGACTTCTTCTCCATTACTTTTTGTTTGTTATCCAGATTCCGTTTCCTTATGGAGTGAACGATTGTGTAGGAATCCTCTGTAGGGTCCTTATGTATTGTATCTACTTGCATAGATGCTGGTGATGTTTCTGCTGTTGTAATAGCGTTTGTGACCTGGGTTGTTGTAGCAGCTGTTTGCATCGATTTAGTTTGTTTTTCATACAACGCTTTCAGATTTTCTATTTCTTTTTTTCGTTTTTTATTTTCCTCTAATAGAAGATTTTCCTTGATCGGAAGTTCCGTTTCAGGAGAAGTTGTGTTTTTGTGGTTGGAGCTTGCCGCCGCCACGTGTTCCCGTTTAGTATTCATTGAGCGGAGTGATTTTTTACTTTTTAGGTTTTTGTGTGTATTTTCTATTTTTTCGGTTTTTGTGTTTGGAGTGTCAAAGAATGTTTTGAATTCCTCTATTTCGCTCAGGCTCCATTCGGTTGGTTTTGAGGATAGTTCAACCTCTTGCTCCGGTTGCTTCGTCAGTGTTCCGAAAGTTTCCAGACCTTTTTGTCCCGATGTATACTGTGCACGCTCCGTTTTTGTAAATTTTCTTTATTTAGGAAAGAAAACACAATAGTAGGAAGTTTTCAGTAGTCTTCGTATTGCTGCGACACAACCGATCTGTCCTGTGTGAGCACACGTGCGCCACTGGTGCTTTCAGCATGATATAATCGTTGCCTGTTAAAATGAGTGACTCTTTTTAGTACACATGATTAGAAATATCCTGGCAATGCATATATGTATTAATTGTGATCTTTGTTTTTAATAAACATTAAATCTCGGCATAACTAGAAATGCGAAAAATGTGAATAAAGCAGGACATACACGTTGAAGTTTACCTCATGGCCTGGCTTCGCGAGGTCGTCTCACGTTAGGGGAGCTGGATCTCCCGAAGCCTCGTTGTTATCTGTAGTGGGATGGCCGTGCCGAATTCACGACCTTGAAATCTTTAAACTTCCTCCACCCACAAAAGGAGCACGTACCTTACAAGATGTGCCCCTTGATGCCATTTAAGTTCCATGCCTCAAAATTTTCATAAAGTGTACCATTAAGTCATTATTCGAGGTGATCAAGTTAGCTGAGACATCTTGTATACATATGAGCATATTCTGTGGGAAACTCGACTTACGACGAAACTTCCGGAGCGGAACCTCGTCGTAACGCGAAGAATACCTCTATATTCTTTTGTGTTTTGTTTGTAAAAGCGTTTAGAAATACTATCAAAATAAAGGTCTAGAATTTTTTATCTTTACTATTTTTGTGTGAAGTATTGGTAGTAAGATCTTATTTAGCTTTATTGATTTTAGCTATTTGACAAGTCTTGCCTCGCTGAAAGAATGTTTGAAAATTCATTAATACTTCTCAAAGAGTAATTCGAAAGTGTCCAATTGCACTTTTAAAAAAACTACATTCTATCTATTAATACTACATTACGCATGACACTGAACAAAAAAATATTTAACTACCTTCTGTTCAGCAGTGTGGTAGAAATAGAGAACTGAAACGGCTCGATTAGACGGCTTGACCATTGTCTCATTTTCACCGTTCCTTTGCAGTCTGGCACGGACATATTGGCCCTGTTCCAGTCGTGCCGATATCCCTTGTCGTCGGCACTATAATTGGCGTAATTGTATTCCGTATAACCGACGAGAATCGTTCACCGAAGTATCATAACGTGAGTCTCATGGAGTTTTTATCTACGGTATACCCTTACGGTTTGCTTGTAATGACACCCCACGAATTAATTGCAGGCTTTCGCGTTCCTTGGATTTTTGACCGCCATGCTGACGGTATATTTGATGGCTGGGGAAGTGATGGCAGTCCTCCAGTGCATAGGGCACGCTTTTAGTATATCAGATGCCATGCTTGGTATTACGTTTCTCGCATGGGGTAACAGTATAGGTGGTAAGTGTTCAAATGCTACTATGAAACCGGATTATGCGTATAATTTCAATTGAAGGCTGTTCTTTAAAAATTCTGTGTTCGGTTTATGCTGGAACTTAATTGTGTTGCACACTCACAATTGTGAGATCATGTACTCAATCTAAACCGAAACTCACTTATTTATTGTGCTGATGTAAAAATAGAAATCACCTCGAATATCTTTTAACCCTATATAAGCCAATTTTGTTCGTCCCTAAGAATAAATTATATAATGAGAAATTAACAAACATCAACCTTAGAATATGAATTGATGAATTTATGATTTTTTAATTTTGTTACTTAGTTTTATTAAGTATTATATGTTAAACTCCTTGACTATTAAATAAAACTTTACTAGTGTGTACCTTAAAGTTACATACGTAGCGTTATGAAGGGTTGTATTTTTGGAAAGAAGAACATGAATTTTTTATTTTTCTACTTTTGCCGAAGAAATATATAGGGTGAGTCACTTAAGACTTTCACCTGAAACATCTCCGTTGTTTTTAATGATACGAGAAAATGTGTTAGGGGAAAAATGCTTCAGTGGAGCAATTACTGTTATACAGAGGATTTTTTTCGATATTTCAATGCCATAGTCGTTTTTCTGAACGGGGTAACGGATTTTGATTAGTGTAATATTGTATCTATTGGAAAGACAAATTCAACCATGCATAATATGTTAACCTTGAAATGACATTCGAAAGAGTTATTCTTCAAAAAGCATATCTTAACGTACGAAGACGATGTTCATGTTTCGGACGGAAAAAGGTGGTTTTTGCTCCACCCTACAAGAAAAAAATGTGATTTTTCCCCCTCCCCCTTCATTTCTAGAGTTACAAAATTTTTGCGTAGTATTTAATATTGCTGTATAATTTGAAAAACGACCAACTCTATTAACAAAACGCATACATTTTCAACGATTCATGACTTTAAAAACACAGTAAAGTGTGTCTGGCTATGTAGAGCCTTTTTCACTGTGGCAGTCGATGTGTTAATATTTTTGCCCCCCACCCCCTGACTGATAACCTGGCCACGCCCATGAACGGTACCCACATATTTTCAAACATTTATTTATTCTTTTTATCATGTTATTCCGAACATTTGACAACGTCCTTGAAGTGATAAATTTACATGTGTCTTGTATCCTTCTTTTCATGTTTTCCTTCGATGTGCTATAACTCTTTATCTATACAGAATATTAAAAAATGTTTTAAACAAATCGTGTAATATTGGATAACAGGTATCCAAGTAAAAAACCGAAAAAGTTAGTTGGTTGTACTTTTCCCCCCAAGAGACCGCTTCCCAAAATTGTTGTACTCCAAATGGTTTACCCCCTTACACAATTTAATTTAAAAGAAAAACTTCACTTCGATATCTGTGATAATTTTGGAAAAAAACAGCTTGTTACACTTGCCGCGGGACACCCTGTATATACGCAGTATGTGTGTAGGCAGTTCCACCTGTTCGGCTCCCTTCGTTCTAACGACCTCCTTATAATCGCTTCGCCGTTTTTCTATATTGTAGAGTTAGATGATAGCAGGTGAGTTTCAATCTCAATTTTGCTAATGGCGATAACGAGAGAGGAATAGTGATAAACAAGTGAGATGGAACAATGTAGAAATAAGCTTTAATGTGCAATGAAGCGATTGTATGAAGCGATGTAGAATTCTGCCTACTGCTCTTTATAATCACTTTGCGAAAAACACTGTAGTCCTTTTTTTGCCACTACGAAATAAAAAGGAAGAATATATGAGGTAGAGATAGCTAACTATCATATATGGTTATAGTATTTTATTATCAAAATTAATATGTAAATAATTGAATCATATAATATTTATCTAATAAAGACCACTTATTGTGTTTCTGAACTGTTTTGACCCTGGAGAATATATTTAACATTTGAATTCTTCTTAACGAAACTGTTTTTAAAAAAATGTTTAAGTCGTATTACATCTGTCTCTAAGGTCACTTTAATTTTTCTAAAAATATTATTTCATGTTTTCTAGCATTATGGTAATACCGTAGTAATACCATAGTAGTACTATAAGTTCTCTACTAACAACAGATTACTACAATATATAAAAATAAACTGAACATTTTAACACTGGTGATACATGAATTAATATACTAACCCAGTAGTTTTATTACATATCTTTTACGAATTAGTATAATGACACCGTTCTGTTGTGCATTAAGTCCTTCTGTCAACTCGAATGAAAGTCAAAGTGGTTTATAATCGTCCATTCGTTAAATATTTAGGCGAAATTACGCGGATCGCAACTCAGTTTACAAATTTCTGTACTACGCTTCATTCGGTAGATAACCAGTAATTAATATCTGGCTAAATCTGCTTACAGATATGATATCAAACATCGCCATAGCTAAACAGGGATTTCCGCGAATGGGATACGCAGCCTGTTTTGGTGGACCGATGTTCAATACACTTTTGGGATTAGGACTAACTTATGGAATGGCCGCTGCTCAAGCGCCGAATTATCGTACACGTATGAGAATAAGCGACATGGCACCTGGTTGTTTCGCCTTCCTGCTCTGTTCCTTATTTACAACTATTATCTACTTGAATATTACGGGCTCGATTGCTCGAAGATCGTACGGATACCTTTTGTACTCTATATATTTCACATTTATTGTGATTCAGTTTCTCAGTGAGTTTCAAATAATTCATCCACTTGGTACTGATCACCGGCCAGAAGATATTAAGTAAAGTTTCAAATAAAAAAAAGAATCTTAGTTTTGTTGTTTTCATAAAAGAAAATTTAAAAATGTACACCTTTTTCTAAGATCTCTAGCATATAATTGCCATTAAAGCATTCGTTTTGTTATTTGTCTGATTGTATGCAAGTTTTGTTATTCGATTTTGAGTACCCTTACATATCAATAGTATCGGAATATATATGCATTTAACATTTAAAGAATCTTTGAAATGCTAATTCATAATTGTGGAAGACCTTTACTTTTAATATCTTGTAAAAATCTCTATCTAAATATTGAAGTTTAAACATTATTTCATACATTCTGTAAACACGTTCTATTGTCAAATTTTTACATAATACCTCGAGTTCAAGCGGAGTACACAAGATTCAACAAAGTTAAATATTATGTCGTATAAGAAATATTGGATTCATTCGCTGACGCCAGTTGGCAATCTGTCTCTCTTGATTTGTATGTTTACTTTCGGTTTATTTAATATGTAAGATTCTTCTTCTTGATATCACCAATTATTTTCTTCCTTTTTAATGAATGTATGTTATGAAAGAAAAACTTCTGGCTTATTATTCGATAACCCCAACAAAATTGAATATTAAAAATCTTTTTAACTACAGAATAAATATTCATATGAAAAAATTTGAACACAAACGGACGGTAAACATCTTATTTTTTGACGTATAAATTTATTCGCAAACATGATTTCTAGAAATACAACCTATTATTTTCCATAAAATTTATTATTATACATCCGTTTTTCGACATTTCCCTCTAGATATTTCGTGGTATAACCGAGGCAATATGGTTAGTACCGGTCTGGTAATACCATAAAGGTATTAATATTTTTACTTTAAAAGTATTTTTACTTTATAAAGAAATTATAAAATAATTAGAAATAAAAAGTAAAACATCCGTATTGGGTTCCGAATAGGGTCTCTTGACTGTTGCTCACGCGCTTAGGTTTCTGGGCATCGCAACGAAAACGTGAATTTTCGCCGCAGTGAGAATTCAGATTCGACGAAGATCTCCGTGGTCCCCTCCTTGTTTACGTTCCCGAGTGACGTACCGAATGTCGGCGGAAAGACCCGAACGGGCAGCGTACACGGACAGGGCTGAGATATGCTTGGTGTGCCAGCACGGTTTCCCCTGTGTGGCGGGGGACAGAATACGCCCACGGTAATCCCTGCCTGTCGTAAGAGGCGACTAAAAGGGACTGTTGGGATCGCGGGACTATGGCACCCGCGGTCCGGTGGGGGGGGGGGAGCTCTCGCTTCCCCCACCACAGAGAGGGTGCTCGGCTGTCCACTGGCGGAGCGGGCGCTGGGGAGGTACCGGTTGTGTTCGCAAGAGATCCCGGTGCCTCCCCGCATAGCACCGAGCCCGGCCACCGTGAGGGTTTAGTGGGTATTTCCCCTGGGCCTTGCCCTATTGGGGATGAGTCCCACACTACCCCCGCCCACTCCTCCCACATTGGAGGATGCCGGGGGTGTGCGTAAATGCATTCCCTCACGTAAAAAAAAAACAAAAAAAAAAATGATGTGCTAGCACGGTGGACGTAAAGTGGGAGACGATGGTACGTCGGAGTGGGAGAGTGGTGGGGGTAAACAGTACACGATTCTGGCATCACTGGCTGGTGACAAAGAGTTACGTCGCGGGTCGCGGGTGTGGCGACAGGGCACACGGATAGTTCGCGCCACCGCCGCGTTAGAATTAAGGACTAGGAAGTTTAAGGCGAATTCACCGACAGGCGAATATAGCGACACCTGAAGTGACGCAGGCGATTAAGTAGAGGGGGTTTTTAGGCCCTAAGAAAATGCGTCGCCTTTTGTTAGGGACAAAGAGCGGTACAGACGTTCCCGCTATGTATAATTATTGATAGCGTTAATTTATAGTTATATAAACAATTAGTTCACTAAGTATCTTTGTGTATACAATGTGTTTTTATTTGTATTAAATTATATCGTGTTACAAAGAACGTGTCGAGTTATTTTCGGGTACAGTCCTTTATTGAAATTAATACGCACGTGGCAATACCCGCCACACGGGTAATCCTAGTGCCAACACCTGTGGGTCGCCACGTACAGTTACAACGCCGTCCTTCTCTAGCTACTGCTAGGATATGTCTGGCAGTGCGCTCTCTTTCACTCTAGAAAGACCGTTGTTGTGTGAGGTGCCTACGTGACCTCTAGCACAGTTTTTATGCTATTAACTGTCTAATTACCCGCGACGAGCCTTTGTCTCCGTCTATTCGTAACGAACGTCGCAATCCAAACGTGCGAGTCAGCTGAAGGGTGCTCCCTGCTTTATAATACTTTTATTACCGGCGCTCCGGGTTTATAATTGTATTTATCTCTGTTTTCGGTGCTCCGAAGTATAGTTTTCTCTACTCGTTATAGTTTTCTTATATTTATTTATTTGTGTACCGTTTGTGACAATAAACTATTCATTGTTTGTTACCAAACCAAGAAGGCGCTCCTTCGAATTTCTTTCTACGAGCCTAATCTCGTACATAATTGATTTCAAATATATTCAACTTGCAATTTCTAATAAAAGATGGCGTTACTAAGATATTAATTACCATTTTCTATTTTAAGATAATATAATGTCAAAACCAGGTAATTATTAACGAGTACTAAAAATATAATACTTCTGTTCCTCAATATTCATATCTTCTATACTACATACATAGAAAAATGAATAAATTATTTATAAAAGTATAATAAAGACGAAGTTTCTTCATAAAGTCAAATACTGACTTCCGTGACAAAGACGCACGTTTCCGACATGTAATTTTTAAATTTGATTTTCTCAAAAACGAAGGCTATAACGCAATTTCGATATTCTTGATTTTCGTCTTATTTTGAGCTATGGTATCTCTCTTACCTCATTTGTACAACGAATTTTTACCCTCTTTGTATATTCTCATGAGAAGAGTGCCTAAGAACTTGAGCAAAGTTATTTATGCCTGCCTCAGTTGTTTCTGTGCAATACGAAACTTAAAAAGCTTCAAAGTTTTGAATGAATTTTGCAATTCGAACTTTGAATTTTTTATGAAAAATTATGACTAGATTAATAAACTGTTAAAATTTTCAATCAACTTCTACATAATTTTACGAACTTATAAAATAATTAGGGAAAATGCTAACGATATATAAACATCAAATACTAATAAACCTATTCAATACTAGATTTACTGTATTTTTTAAAACGCGTTTAAAACCATAAAAAAGTAATCCAAGTACAAAATGACGTCATAATGAAATAGAACATACTGAAAATACTAAAGCATTGTAACGTATATAGAATTACAGTAAATAGTAATGCTATCGGTCGTAGTGTAATTATATTTACTTCTCATGCATATAATACTATTAGAGGCCACCGTTCAAATCCTTTCGTTAATTAGGCAACTCTAGGACGTACATACGTGTATGATAATTCATAATTGGCAACTAGCATTCAGGTTGTACCCTCCACGGGTATTTCGAGACGACGACATTCTCGGCACAGATGGAAATGAAAGGGTTAACGACAGAACAATACGAGCCTGCTTGAATCTACCCATAATGACGTCGTTCGCCGATGGAATATGCTTAATTATCTGCTAGGAAGCCGTCCTGACATCGACTCGAGGTGGGAGACGTGTCGTTAATTTTATAGGTAATTAGTGAGGCAGAGGCGTTCGACTGCTTGCGCTGGCAGAAACGAATGCAAAAGTGCGCGCGAAATGTGCTGATTGCATTACCCAGAAAGACGAATAGCCGTTTCGGTGAATGGGCTCGTTAACTTCCGCACTTACAAATTGGCCACCATTTTGGTTGGCCGTTCCGCCCCCCCCCCTTCCGCCGGGTTTCCACGTCCTGCACTTTCTTTTTAAAACCGACGAAAAATCAACTGAACCTAGATAAGACGACCAGACATTAAACGGTAATGTCTCGGCCGATCTTTACATTAGCTATCCTTCATTAAGTTTCGCAGCTAAATAGGAAAGTGGAAGAATGTTTTAGTCGCAGATAACTTTCGTAAATGTAATGACAAATAGAACAAACTCTTACGTATTTGAATTTTTTTGACACTGGTGCTTTAAACGCATTAAATATCATCGTCTTCGTTAATAGACTCTGTATATATATTTTTGCGAACTCGTAATTTTGTAAGTAGATGTAAAGAATAGAATTACACAGAAATTCTTTTTATTAGTAATCTTATCAAATAAAAGTGAATGAAGAATGTTCTTCGGATTCTTATATATATGCATAAAATCAGTAACTTCTTTATCAGCTTATTTCAGAATGGTGGTCTCATTCATCAAAGTCAAATGTTTTAAACGAGACACTCAGTTTTTCATGTTTTATTTTTAAATTGTTGAGATAGAACTATTATTTGGAAGAAAACTGATAGTTATGAAGAACTAATTGAAATTGCGTTAAAGGCTTAGTCTTTGAGAAAATCAAATTAAAAAATTACATGATCTGAAACGTGTGTATTTGTCATGGGAGTCAGTAGAAACGGAATTCAATGAACAGACGCGCTAGCTATATCCCATTCAATCGTGCGTGTATCCAGCACATTTTCAAATTCGATTATCTTGAAAACGAAACCTCAAACGCAATTTCGTTATTCTTGATTTTTGTCTTATTTTGTGCCATACCATCTTTCTGAACTCATGTGTACCACGAATTTTGGTCCACTCTGTGCAACAGAGTGTGTCCGCACAAGTGATCTCAAGGAATACAAATTCAAAATGGTGTACGGCATTAAAAAATAATGACATTAGATAAATTAAGGTATATTAGCTTCCTGCGTCGGTAATATTAACCTACATATATACATACACATATGCAATGACATTCTTTTCATAACTATGTAGAAGTTCATATTTTCTAGTATATGTACATAGGCATTGGTAGCAGAAAATATACAGGAGCAAAACTTGTGTTTAAAGAATTCTGCACAAACTTTCGAGAATCACGGACAAGCTTCCACCCTAATGTGATT